CAATATGATTACATATGAAGAATGCAAAATGCGAATATGGGCGCCTCCAAAGCAACACCATCGGGTCCCTAAAGTTTGGCTGATCACACTCCAGGCTGTTCCTATAGGTGACACAAATCCAATGGGACATCGCTTTCTTTCTCCCTTAGCGTTCTCCCTTTCTATTCATGATATTGGCAGTTTCAGACAGAAAATACAGAAAAAAAAATTGGCTTTTGAAAAGTTATTACTCTAGTCAATGAATTTGGCCACAGACTGCAATTGGCCAGGTAAGGTCAGACGATGCCAAGCATCGACAGTAAACCTCTTGGGTCTTCTGATTGCTTTATCACTGTTATTATTAGTATGTTTTCTGTGAAACAAAAAAACGCAACCCAGAAATGCTACAGAATCAGAGTATAAAAAAATATACAAGTGTAGAATGCTTCCCGGACACGCGCGGATACTTTTTCCTCCCCACTAATACCAGGGCAGTGTAAGGTGTGAGAATGTCAGCATGAAACTGGTTATTGAATCAGTTATGAGCTTTGATGGCCTCGACAGACAGACTCAAGAAACGCTGAATATTTAAATAACTGAACTTGTGCTATGGTTCATCTTTAAAAAAAAAAAAGTGAGGGATGGGGTGTTGTTGGGGAACTCAGGCCAAGTCAGGAAAAGGATGAAATACAATTTCTAGGTTTCCTAGGTTCACCATATCGAAGTCTTTGAGAATCCAATATGGAATATCAATTATTTGCAAAAGCTGGAGAAGGCGGTTCTCAAGTTTTGCAAATGAAATACAGTGGGAAACACAGCTTGATGTTTCTCCAAATAAATAGTCTTGATTTCAACGCTAACAAAACAAACAGGAAGGGTACTTGTGAGCATATCACAGTTAAGTCCGAAGTGATCTTTCATTCAGATCTGATTGCCAAAAGGACAGCTTAGACAGCAAGAGGCAGCACCATAAACACCTCGGTTTCAGCCGTATGGATGGTTGTTAAAAATCGTCATTTTCCTTGCTTAGTTTTTGGTCAGTGAGGCTAGCACTTGTCTGCTGAACTGTGGAAGAGTCGCAGGATCACACGCATTATTCATGATAAAGCAACCGAGCTGATGAGTCTGTGCTTAATTCAAGAATAACCAGAGAGAGAGAGAGAGAGAGAGAGAGAGAGAGAGAGAGAGAGAGAGGAACAAGGAGTTAACCACCATTATCGGGCTCTCTCAAAGGAAGAGGGGTGAACAGAGGAAGTCACCAGGCAGTGGGTCTATACACAACACTGAATGCCATGTGTAAATCCGCATGAAACTCCAGGAACAAGAACACCACACCAGGAATATAATTTGATTTACACATTCCCTTACAAAGAGGGGGTGGGGGAAATAAAAGACACCATTACAACTTTGTAACTGTGTTAACTGTAATAGAAACCAAAGTCCAGGTAACTAAAAGAGGGTTATCACTTAGGTTATATAGCAAAAGTGTGGATGTATATTATATATAGTAGTATAAATAATAAAAAAGTATTATTTAAATTAGATCACAGTGCTGCATTATGTGCATAACAGTGTTTGATATAGTATTGGAGGGCTGGAACCTAGACACTAAGGATTTAACTGTCAACACTGGCAAGTCACAATCAAGAGGGACACAGAGTTTAATGTGTTCTTTTGGTGGCGAGAATCCTGAAGAGAAAGGGAACGGAAAAGAAAAAAACTTTTCTAGAGAAACATTTTTAAAAGAAAGAGAGAAAAAGAAATGGCCACTTCTGGGCAGTTGTGACCCACCACCAGAAATATCCACCCCCACCTGAATCAAGTTTGAAGGGCAAGAGAAATCACATTGGATGGATCGAATGCCATCTGGAAACCCTCCACTGACTCCTCTTCCAAGAATCCTTCAATGAGGGGCTGCATGCCCCCACCCCTGCCCCCAGGTCATGGGATCAGTCCTAGCTCTGGTGTCCAGCCATGTTCCAGGATGGAGCCAGACACTAGCCAATCAGAAGATAGGTCCTCAACACAGTCCATGGCCTGAAACTGTCGCCCACCTGGGCAGCCTGTTCCAGGTGCAGTCTCCCCCGACTGTCCTTTGAGGATGTGTGCCATGTCCACAAGGGTCCGGCACTCTGAGCTCAGCATCTCTCGACAAGAACCATTCGGTCCCTGGGGGAAGCCTCCAACACATTCTTTCTGGAACCCGCAGAGCCCAGGCTGAGCCCTGCCGGGCTACCTGCACTGGGGTCTGGCGAAACCCCCATCTCACTCTGGGTTTGGTCGTCCCGTTTCCAGACAGCATCACCAAAGAACTCTCAAAAGGATACTGATTAGAGAGGGCAGGGGACTAGGAGCTTGTGGGATAGTATAAGGCTGTGGGGGAGATGGAGGATGCAAACCCTTTTCACAGAGTACTAGATACAGATAAGAGACAACCGGAGTAGCATAAAAATAACTATGTGTCTATCCCTTAAGAGGAAGGAGCCACGGTCTCCTCCTCTTAAATGGGTCCGAGGGCCAACGGCAAGTACTCGCAGATGTTATGGTGCTGGATGTGGATACACGGTGGTTTCCCGAAGCATCTTTAAATATTGCTATAGTTCCCCACGTCCCCCTCCCCCCGCCCCAGGTGAGTATGTGAGATACTGGAATGACACACGAAAGGCCACTTCTCCCAGCAGGAGAAATGAAAGCAAAAGACAGCACACTTCTTGCCCGGCACTCGGGCGCCTGTCAGACGCGAGGATACAGAGACGCTAGTTTGGAAGCTAAAAAGAACACCTGACGTGTGGGAAAGGGATTCCAAGACTAAAGTGGATTACACTTGAGCAAAATAGTCTTTCACAAAGAGGCTTGTGCTTAAGTTCTCTACTGCTCTTGGAGGAGGAGGAGGAGGAGGAGGGAGGGGAGGAGGGCACCGGCTGCCCCTGGGCCTGGCAAGGGCGGGACCGCGGTCCGCCGTGGACTTGACTACACACGGCCACATACACAGAGATTTTTTTTTTGTTTTTGTTTGTTTTTGCTTTTCTCAACAATCAAGATACAAAGTTCAACACAATTGAGCCATTGTTTTGGTTATGCATCATGTGTATGCCTCCAAAAACAGAAGAAAAATAGAAAAAGGTACCCTCACTAAAGTTTCCCCGCGGACCCCTCGGGGGCAACCCACCCACCAAGGCGCCGCTGAGGGGCACGCGGGAAAATAACACTTAGAAAGCTGCCCAATGAGGTATTTATGCAAAAAGAGTGGTTCTGGAGAGAAGAACCCACTTTTATATTTATCTATTTCTCAAAGAGATCAGAAAAGTAAATCACACACATTGCATTTTATTATCTCCTAAAAGAGGCCCTTTGCTCCTTTAGAAAACTCCCAAGGGGAGCAGCCCACGGTGGGGGGTTTTCACGGGAGGAAGTGTCCTGCCAGAGACAGCCCTGAACCTTCGCCTCTGCCTTTCAGGAGGGAAGTCGGAATTATGTGGCACCGGGTGGGGAGCGGGGAGACCTTTGGGCGCTGGGTCAGGGACCCTACAAAGCGTCGCCCCGGCCCCGCGGTTGTGGATGGCTTTAGGGGTGTGCCAGAGGTCTGGGAAGATGCAAGGGACAGAACTTTTCAAAAATTGCATCCTGCTCCGAAACGGTTCCCCAACCATATGGGAGAACTGGGGTCTGGGAGAGATTTTTCGGCCTGTTGGACCGGGGGTTCCATCTGTTAGGCTGTCTCCTTAACCACTCCCAGGTCCTGGCAGAGGGAGGTTTCCTCCACTGTCCCATTTAAGGAAAAAAAAAATCACCCTCATTCTCACCTCCCCCACCCCCACCACATCCTGAGCCACGGTTGTGAGTGTGGTTTGTGTTTTAAGATTCCCCTCCATGTGGGAGATCAGATGCTCGTAGAGTTTTCTCTTTGGATCTCCCCAGGTTAATTCCACCTCGGCAAAGGTTATCAGGAGTCTCTGGCCCTAGTGACAGATATGGTCTGAAGACTGTCACAATCTGGGTGGGTTGTGTGCCGAGGCGGTGGATGGCTGCAGAACGCCCCTGCGCCCCACCTAAGGGGGAGGTGGGAGGCTGGTCCTGCCCACACCTCGGTCACTTCCTCCATCCCGTGAACCCTAACTTGCACCCTCATCCCATAAGGCCCGTGAGCGGGGGTCCCCCTTTCTCCTGATGAGTTTTGCATAATGAGTCACTGCTTTCTTTCTGGAACCCACTCACCACCGAGGCTCCCTCCCTCCACTCCGCGTCCCGCAATTCTCTTGACTCTATCGCACACACTCACTCCTAAGTTTGCCCTCAAATTATTGCGTCGTGGTAAACGTGGACAGACAAAGAGAAAGGACACACTTTTCAACAGAGAATCAGAGGGGCTTGGGGGCTGCAGTGCAGACGAGGCAGTACAGAGTCCCACCATCCAGGCCCGACCAGAACATGAAGAGATTTTATATTGCAGAGTATTAGTTCCCCAACAGTCAGAATTTGTCCCTGAAGAAGGTTAAACCTTAAACACCTGCTTCAAAACAACCAAAACACAAATCATAAGGAAAACAAAACGAAACAAAAAAAATAAAGAAAGAAAATCATGAAAGGAAAAAAAAAAAAGAGGAAAACCAAAAGAACCTCTAAGCCCAAGGGCTTAAAAATTAGAGGCATAGCCTGTTCTCTATTTTCTATATTTATATGAAAATAATTCATGCTTCATGCTAAATACATTATTTACCTTACAAGAACTTTGTTATTTTTTTTTTAATAAAAAAAGTTTGTGTTTTTTATGATTTTTTTTTCTTTTTTTCTTTTTTCAAAGGAATCCATGCACTGTGGATCAGAAATCGGCTGGCTACACTTGCTGGATGTGGAAAATCACTGATTTTTTTTGCAAAGATGAGTCCTGACTGACTGACATGAACTGTAAACTCCATTTTGAGGGCAGTATAGGAGTTTTCCCTCCCGCCTCCCTATCCCCTGCCAAGCTTTACTTTTAATCCATCAATGTGCCTTTAATCTTTTAAAAATATATCACAATACTAATGGCAGGTTCCATAGCTTTTTAAGTTTTTTTTTTTTTTAAACTTGGATCAAAGAGTTTTGACAGACAGAAAAAGATTTGTACCATTATTTCCTTTCTTAACAGCTGCTGAACTTTCTGGGACTTCTTCCCTTGGGCCATGAAGACGAGAGGGCTTCTTTTCTCTTGTGTGCGTGTGCATGTGTCTGCATGCATGTACATGTGTATGTATCTATGTATTTGTGTCTATGTGTGTATGTGTCCATGTATTTGTGTGTGTGTGTGTGTGTGTGTACATGTGTGTGTGAGTGTGCGTTGGTGTGAGCGCACGTGGGTCAACCTTCAGCCTTATGCCCCGTGGAACACTCCCTTAACTGAATGTGGAACAGAATTCGATGATTAGCGACTTTGCTAAAAATGCATCCCACTTCTCACTGGCCACTGGTACCTGGTGGATCTGGACTGGCCAGTGTCCCCTTGGGAGGGAGATGTGATGAGGCTTCTGGGGTAAAGGCAGGGAGCATTGGATACAGCCCCCCATGGGCCCTGCATGGTAATGCCTGGCGTTTTGTTGTTGTTGCTGTTTTTTTTTTTTTTTCCAGGAGCAACGAGATGCACCTGGTGCTACAAGTCTGGGTCTGTTCTGGTGGAGAGAAGGGGGCCCAGGGTTCCTCCTCTTCCCGCCTGCCTGATGCCCACCTGCCTGAGTGCACTGGGGACTGCTCAGAGGTACCCAACTGGGCGGACCTCCCAACCATTTCCGCCTGCATGCCTGGCGCCTTCTCGGGGCCTCCGCTGACTCCCTGCAAGCCGGAGGAAGCAATGGTAATTTTGGCTTTTTCGGTTTTGTCTTCAGATAATGAAAAGCTTTTTGTAAAACAGCTGAGTGTCAATATGAGTTCTATGGCTTCAATCTCCTTTAAAAATAAAATTCTTAAGGGTCCAAAACAAAACGGGGTGGGGGGGAAGGGCGCAAAATTAAATCAAAAACAAAAGAGACAAAAAAAAGAAAAGAGAAAAAAGAAAACCAAACCAAAAGAGGAAAAGAAAGCAAAAGAAGAACAAACGAAAGCAAATCGCTGATATTGCCACAAATCATTAGAAATCTCCTGACATGCTGAAACCAAATGGCCGTTAAGTTCAAAACAAATCAGTGACTTGTTTGTCAATTTTTCGTGGTTTCCTTTTGCTCCTTCTGCCCCTTTGCCGTCCGATTGGTGATGTTGTTCAAACAGGAGCGGATCCCTGCCAGGTGCAGGAGCGACCCCGCCGCCTCCTTCATCTCCTCGTCGTCGCTCTCGGGGGGCTTTTCCGTGCGTCTCTTTTTGAGGGGCAGCGTGTCGCTGGGGACCCTCCTGGCCTTGGCGAGGTGCTGGCGCTTCTTGTGCTGGGGCGCGCCGTCCCCGGGGGCCTCCTTGGCGCTGCGTCTCTGCTCCTCCTCCTCCGCCTCGCTGGGGCTCTCCAGGCTCCGCACGCTGCCCTCGCTGCCCTCCTGGCCGCCCTTGGGGGCGAACTCGTAGTGGTCGTCGGCCGACGAGGACGACACGGAGTCGCTGGTGGGCGAGGTGCTCCGGGCGGCGGCGGATTTGGCACTGCTGTAGTTGTGGTCCTCCTTGGGGTCGCCGCTGACCACCGGGGAGCCGCAGGGGGGCTCGCTCTCAGTCCGCACGCGGCCACTGGACAGGCCGTTCCTGCGGGGTGGAGGAGACACGGGGTGGGGATGGGGGGGCACACAACGGGAGAACACGCATTAGCACCTTCCTCTGGGGCGCCCTGGCAGCCCCCGCCCTGGGCTCGACCACAGCCCCTCCCGGGACAGCGATCTGTCAACTCGGGGCTGACAGCATCCCTGGCTCCCATCCCTGGCATTTCCACTCTACCCACTGCATGGAAACAGCACTGCAGGGGGCAGGAGGGCATCTGAGGTGCCTCTCTCCTAGGCAACACTAAACCCCCGGATAAGGCACTTGCCTTGCAAGCTGGGGCATGGGGGGGGGGGGGGTGGTGGGGGTGGTGACTGTGGATAGCCCATATCATCGCCCCAGCAGTGATCCCTGAGCTCTGAGCATCACTGGGTGTGCCCCCCCCCCCATCAAACTAACTAACTAACTAACTAAATGAAATCCCCTCAAAACCAAGCTTGTGTTTGGTGTTTGCATGCCACGGGCCCAAGCTGCGGAGGAGTTATGGGCTCACGACTCTGAAGGGCAGGAAAAAGCCACCGCTCTCTTCCAAAGCTCCATTAGGAGTTGTTCCTCCACAGTATTTAAGCCAAGGGTGCCTACCATGGGGTGACAGCTGTCCCCTCCCACATTCACTTTGAAAATGTCACCCTCAATGCCAGCTTGGGACTAGCAGCCTTCAGGAGACTCAGTGTGCGTGTGTGTGTGTGTGTGTGTGTGTGTGTGTATGTGTGTGTGTATGTGTGTATGGTTTGCACCACCCCAAGATCCCCGACCACGCAGTGACCACCCCGGCCCTGTACCGGCCCCTCGCTTTCACCCACTCAGGAGCTCGCTTCTCAGACAGACACGGACAGTGCAGGCCGCAGATGCTTTGCAGCCTTCCTGGAAACCGCACGGCCTCCAGTGAAATCAGAATCAAAGTCCCACTCTGTGCCTGAGTGCCTGACAATGTCCTGGGTGGGGGGTGGGGGGTGGGAGAGAGGGAACGCTCCCTCATTTCCATAGCCCCTCTGTCCCGGTGGGGACCCTCCAGCACCCCTCATGCACTGAGCTGTGGGATAGGACCAGAGAGAGGCACGACCACAGCAAGGAGAGCCACTGAGAGCTGGAGGCACAGAGGGTAGGTTCAGGAAAGGGCCTGGGACAAAAGGTGCCTGTCCCGGGATGAGCAGGCCACAGGCTTTGGACTCACAGGCTGCCAGGTTTCCTGTACGCTTCCCCGTCCATAAAGCACAGCAAAAAAAGGCACTCAAACACCAACCCTCACTCGATGCCTCAGGACCAGCAGTTCAGAACTAGAGTCAAGTTCTGATCCCTAGAATTCAGCTCTGAACCCTCCAACTACCACTGTGTGTGTATGTGTGTGTGTCCGCGTGCGCAGGCATTTGTAAGTGAAGCTCCAGCAGGTTCAGTGGGTGGCCGGCATGGTATGATCCCAGAGCCACACCATGTTTCCGGAAATTTCTAGATTGAGTCTGGCCTTTCAGACTTTCCATAACAGGCCAGTGTTACTTCTTGGTAACCTCAAGCAATGCTCTGCATCAAACTCCCCTGGCCGTGTGAGGGTCAAACAGGGAGGGTTTTTTTTTTGCTTTTTGGGTCACACCTGGCAATGCACAGGGGTCACTCCTGGCTCTGCACTCAGAAATTACTCCTGGCGGTGCTCAGGGGACCATACGGGATGCTGGGAATTGAACCTCGATTGGCTGCGTGCAAGGCAAACGCCCTACCCGCTGTGCTATTGCTCCAGCCACTGAATGGAGAGTTCTGAGCAGAGCTTTTGGCTTGCAGGGGGCGGGAATACTCTGACTGGCTCTCCTCTGCTGTCCTGTCCAACGGCACACAACTGCATCCTGTGGATGTGATGTGCCTGCCTCGAGTGGTCTCTTATTCTTTTACTCCTCTGGTTTGGGAGACTACAGGGATGCAGCAGAAAGGAAAGCCTGGAGGGAGAAAGTCTCTGTCACTCACGCATGGGCTTACAGGACACTCAGCCTAAGCGTGAGGAAGGGCGTCCCCAGCATCTGCTCTCTGCAGACCTGCTGTCGCCTGGCACGCCCCCCAGTGCCAGAACAAGAGGACAGAGGGGTGTATGGAATATGAAAACTGGTCAATGCCACCAATTATCCAGGGACCTACTTATTAAAGCCAGTGACAATGAGCACAGTGTGTGATGGTTTTGATCTCTGCTGTTTCTCACTCATACAAGAAACAAGATGAGAGGGGCTAAAGCGATAGTACAGCAGGAAGGGCATTTGCCTTGCACACAGCCAACCCGGGTTTAATCTCTGGCATCCCATATGGTCCCCCAAGCACTGCCAGGAGTAATTCCTGAGTGCCGAGCAACCATTAAGCATTGCTGGGTGTGACCAAAAAAAAAAAAAAAAAAGAAACAAGATGTGAACCAGTGCAAGAGAGCCCAGCTGCCAGCTGCACAGGGAAAATGCCTGGACCAAGTCTCAGGAAACCAACTCAGTTCCGTACTCTTGCTTATTTCTCTTTTCAAGGGATGATGCCGGGTGATGCTTGGCTAGGCAATGAGGGGGGTACCCTGGTCAGCCTCTGCGTGCTCTGTCCCTGGAGCTAGCTCCTGTAATAATATCATTACTCTTAGTTTTAAACACGGTGCTTGTGACTAACTCCAGTCCCACAGCGGGGAAGGACTGGCTGCCTTTCCATGGAAGGAAGAGGGAGGGAATGAGAGTGTTGAAGTTGAAGGATAAGAGAAATAAGCAAGTGAGGGCTTGGCAGAGCTAGGAAAGGGTGTTCACTGTGTTTTTGTCTCTAGAGTTTATAAAAATGTTTTTTAAACACCAAGTTTGGAGTGGGAGAAACACACCAAAATGAAAGTAATATTAATTAAGCTCCAGACCATTACCAGAAGCTTTGGAGTCTGAGAATGCCTGGTTTTTGGGGGGTGGAAGTGAGGGTGGGGATGAGGAACAGCTGGGCGGGGGGGTGGGGTGGCAGAGAGTAGTGTCCATGCCTGGATGCCTGGTATAATGCTTGAAGATCACTCTGAGGGCACTCAGGAGGCCATGCAGGGCACCCCGGCTCTAGCATGCAAAGCCTGCACACGAGCACTTTGACCTATGTCCCCAAACCGACCAAAGCAAGAGCTTCTCTTTCTTAGAAGAGATGGGGGAGTGTATGAGAAACACTAAAGATACACTGGAACCAAACTATGACTTTCTTTTAGTGGAGACCACAGGAGTTAAAGGAAACCTTCTGACAATGCAGGGTTCAATCCTGTGCAGAGTGGTTGCGTGTCCCCACCCTCCCGGACACACTCCTTAACATACGCAGAGCACCGGCCCCACACAGCCGCCTTCCAGAGAAACCCCACAACGATGCAGGGAACTCTGGGCATGGGCCCTAGGAGTTCCAGCTCGTTCTAAAAGACTGCTCAAGCAGGAGCCTGAAAAATCCTGGCCTCTCTTCTCAATCGGGAGGCTTGGTATACAGAAGACAGAAAACCAGTGTGTCCACGGGCAATGTCTCCAGGTGAAAACAGGCATGCAGACAGGACCACAGGGAGTTGGAATTCAAATATAAAATAGGCCTTTCCCACTTGCGAAGATGAACTTTCCCGGAGATGGTTGTGGAAGCTCCCAATTCTCTCTCTCAGTCTCTCTCTCAGTCTCTCTCTCTCTCCCTCTCTCTCTCTCTCTCTCTCCTCTCTCTCTCTCTCTCTCTCTCTCTCACACACACACACACACACACACACACACACACACACACACACACACAAACACTAGCTGGAAGCAATGAGCAACCAACTGGGGAAGAGCAAACCAATGTAGTGTAGCCCATGGCAGCGCCAGTCTGCTGGCCTGACCTGGTGACAAGCACGCCATGCAGCAGCGGAACCACCAAATGCGGGTGAGCAGACACTAACCAGAGAAAGCTGACCATCGTGCACAGGTGGGAAGGCCCATCTCTACCTTCTTCTTCAAACCCTTCATTTGCCTCAACAGGTGTTTAACTCAAGAGATGCCTGCAATGTTTCTGCTGAAGCTGAATGCACGGGTAACAGTACCCACGGTGGCTGTGTGGGCATCAATTCAAGCTGATTTTACCAGGCCTCAACAAAACCCTATCATTAACCTCATGCAAAATCCCGGCATCCATTCTGCCATCAGACGGATGGGCCATATGAAATCGGAAAGGGGAGAAGTGATTTACTAGCTTGGGCCGAGCTTGCCCTGAGCAAGTTAAGGTTTCTTGATGAGACAGGTCATGCCGCTGTCTTCCCCACCTGCTGATCTGTTATGTTCCCATCACTTGGGACTCTCTCCGGAATGGAGGGCTTTAAACCCAGAGGCTACGATTCGGGTGAGGTGGCCCTCCCAAGGGATCTAGGCCCTGGGGGAATGCTGATCTTGGCCAAGCATAAAGAGGAGGTAGGATTCCTGGGATTGCGGAAGCAGAGCCACAAGTGGGAGCTCGCAGAGAGCTTCTGTCCCAACATAGGCAGATGCACAAAGGCACAGGACGAGGTAATGATCAGTGGCTTCCACTTCCAGCTGGGTGGTGAGGAAGAATGTGGGGGGCGTCTTTCAAAGATCCTACTGGAGACCCCAGATAAAGTCCAGTTCCACTTGGGGTGGAGGGGCATGAAGCAAGGTAGTTTTTGTTGATCAAAACTTAAGCTTAGGGGCCTGGAGCAATAGCACAGTGGGTAGGGCCTTTGCCTTGCACACGGCTGACCTGGATTCGATTCCCAGCATCCCATATGGTCCCCCACCACCACCAGGAGTAATCCCTGTGCATCACTGGGTGTGACCACCCCCCCCAAAAAAATACCCCAAACAAACTTAGGAAAATGTGAAAGGAGAGAAAGAGAGGAAATGTATTTTGGAGAGAAACAAGCAGCAAAGAAACACAGAGACAAGCAAGCTTCTACATTCAAGGAAGAACATGGGCTCCAAGAGCAAGCCCAAGACCGGCTACATGTTGCAAAGCCGTGGTTAGGCCATGCCAGGCAGCGGGGGAATGTAGAGGTC